CCCAGGTAGTTGAATTTTTGAACGACTTCTAGCTGATCCCCACCAAGGGTCAGCGAAGGAGGCGGCCCAGACCAATCTTGGAGGAACGCTTTGCACTTCGAGGGTGCGAAGCAAAGCCCGAAGTGACGGACAGCTAGTGGTAATCTGTCCAGTGCCGCTTGGCACATTTGTGAGCTGCCACAGATCAGGGCAATATCATCAGCATACTCTAAGTCAAGAAGTCGTTCTCCTGGGAGTAGCTCCACACCTTCTAAGTCGTGTCCTGTGAACGCGATTTCCATGACTTCGTCAACAGCGAAGTTGAAGAGGAAAGGTGACAGCGGGCATCCTTGTCTCACGCCGCTGGAGATATTAAACGGCGACGACAACTTGCCGTAAGCCCTCACTCTGCCCGAGCTACGCGCATATAATGCTCGGATAATATTCACATATTTCTCAGGTACACCTTTCCTGAGTAGACAGTCCCAAAGTGCATGTCTATCCACCGAATCGAATGCACCTTTGATATCGAGGAACACGACAACGGTGGGCCGCCAATATGTGTGACGGTGCTCCAACAACTGACGCAAAGTGAAGATGTGGTCAATGCAGCTACGACCTCGACGAAATCCAGCTTGCTCTTCGCGAATCTGGCTTCACGAGTGCCAGTCAGTCTGTGAAGGATGACAGAGGCAAGCAATTTGGAGGCGATGGAGATCAGACTGATTCCTCTATGGCTGCCGCATTCCGATCGTCAGCCTCCTTTGAAAATTGGGACTATGATGGAGCGACTCCAATCGGTTGGGACAGTTTCCTGCTCCCACAGTCTCACTAGTAACTCGTGTAAATCATCCACAAGAGCAGGTCCCCCGAATTTGAAGAGGGCTGGAGGAAGGTCATCAGGTCCCGCGGCTTTGTTTAACTTCAACAGTCCGATCTCATGTTCGACTTCTGAGCGAGAGGGTGGATCCAAAGAAACAGCTCACGGAGCGGGGCGATCACTGGTCGGCGAGAAATCTAACAATTCCGACCGATTAAATTGCCGTTCAAAGTGCTCAGCCCAATGTTCCAGGCGTTTTGATAAGTTGTGGATAGGCTGTCCACTCGTCACGTATAGTTTCACTAACACCAGGTCTCCTGCTGCCCGTTTCCCGTATAAGACGGAATAACTCACGATGGTTACCAAGGGCAGCGGCCATTTCCATCTCTGTTGCACGACGAGACCACCAGGATTCGCGGTCTCTCTTCAGGCTAGCACGGAGTTTTGCCCGAAGCCCTTTGCGAGTTTCATTGTGTTCGCTTCCAGCCGGAATATGCCGGCGAGCATCTATAAGTTCCAGAGACTGTGAAGAGACCCAATGTTCATGTTGGCGATTAGACACACCACATGAGGATTTGCCTGCTGCTAGTAAGGCCTGTTGCATATGAGACCAGTGAGCTTCAATTGCATCCAGTGAGCGTTTATCCAACTCGGATGACAGCGTAATTTGATAGGCATTCAGAACAGCTGGCTTCGCCAGTTGGCTGGTGTCAATGCGCTCACAACGTCGTCGTGGGCGTCCGCCAAAGCGCACCCGCATGTCAGCACATACAAGTGCATGGTCGGTGTCCACACATGTGCTCCAAATCGAGCGACAGTTCTGGACGCAGCATCTCCATCGGTAACTTATCGCAATGTGATCGATTTGCGTCCATAGCTGGTTCGAGGCTGGTGGGCGCCAAGTCACCCTCCGGCGGGTGCTGTGTCTGAAATTAGTGCTCGCAAGAAATAAGCGAGCATCCTCACACAAATGAAGTAACCGCTCACCGTTATCATTACGGGAGCCTATACCATGTTGGCCGCCCAGATGCAGCTCATCTGTGGATAATTTCCCAACTTGAGCGTTCAGATCCCCAGCCAGCACTACAGTGTCCGAGCTTCTTCTGTGGCGAAGCAGTTCGTTCAGTTGGCGGTAGAAGTCGTCTTTTACCGAAGCATCGCTACAGTTTGTCGGTGCATAGGCAGCGATAACGAATAGACACCTGTTAGTCCCACGCGACTTCGAAGCTTTGAACGAGCCGGCCAATCGGACCGTACACATCCGGCTACTGATTGGAATCCAATCAATTAGAGCAGCTTCAGCCCGGGGACTCAGGGCAATACCAACACCAGCTTGGCCGGTGCTCGAAGCTGCATCGTCACCGGATAGGCGCAATGAGAAAGTGCTGCTAGTGTCACCTGAAGGGGATCGCAGAGTGAGTACAGAGCTCGAGTCTTGCAGGCGGGTCTCCGATAAGCAGCAGATATCGATCGAGAGGGTCTCTAATGTTCGGGCAAGTGCTGCCTGTTGACCGATCTGAAGCAATGTGCGAACATTGAGGCATGCCAGTCTGAAGGAGGATCGAGGGCTCCAAATGGAAGCCGATGAACTGGAATGGGCCGCTTGCTTGGACATGGGCCTGTTGACAGTGCAGGAATGACGCTCCGCGTTCACATGTGAGTTGAAACTAAAAGACAAGCGACTACTGAAGCAAGGTGGGGGAGGGCCGAGAATTGGGGGGTTGAAAACAGGGGGGATAAAAGTGAAGCTGGAACGGGACGATAAGGGTGAAAAAGCGCAAGAAGGGGAATAAGAAGATGGGAAGGCTTGAACAGTAGCATCCAAACCCCTATCCACCCTGCTCGATGCAGCAGATAGGGCACCGTTGATTATCCTCTGCGGTGGCCAGAGCATCAGAAATTTGTTTGTGGAAAGATTCATTGTATTGCGTGGGCAGGATACTGTCAGGTTGCCCAGGCCTAGACAGGAGAACGATTAGGGTTCTCAACCAAAGTCTTTGGTTCAAAAACCTGTCCGCAAGGCAGCGGGTTTGGCACTGGACTACAAGGAGTCTGTTTTACGGAATAATGTGCCACCCTCATTCCAACCCCCAACCTGGAGGACCAGGAGGCTGAGTTTGTCTGGCCTCTAACCATTGACCAATCTGGTATGAGGGGCTCTGAAAGTGCAGAAATGCACCACCCAGTATAGCTCAATGGATCACTGAGGCACACAAACCATCGCACCAAGGTAAGGTCCAGCCTCATTGCGATGGGGTCTAGGAATACACAACTTTTGATCGCTTCCCTAGCGCGTCCCTCACAATAGTTGATCAAGTAGGACAGCCTTATTTCCGGATTCGCCGTAGCATTCCTCACACTAGATTGGAAACTGCGAATGAAACTTCCAATAAGGAATGGGATCCCGTTAAAGCGGATTATTTCGCGCTTTGGCAGCCCTGACAAACATTCAACAGCCTTGGTCTTCTGTCGAACACGAGCTCCGAGATGGTTGTCCAACAAAGCCGGAGGGAGTCAAATCACGAAAATGCCTACCACCGCACCGAACGACTAGACAAGTGGAACAAGTTTCTGACGTCCCGTGGCGTCATAAAGCTTCTATCAACTGGTTATCTACAGAATATGTCACCATCCAGGTCACCGCGACGAAATTGTGAGCCATTATCCGACATAACGGATCCACGAGACACTACTCGCACTTCTTCAGCTAAAATTTATGTAACCTTCGTTCTAGTTCTCTAATCCTAAGCAAAGCTCATCTTAAGAGGCCTCAGGGTTCACGATACAAATATTTTGTGGCTTCTTCGGTAAAAGATTTGGCTCTATTGTATCCATTAAAATGCCAGTCAAACTATTCAACTTTGTAGCTGCAACCGATACTGCCCACTGACAAGCCCAATCACCAAACGTACACACAATCTGGGCGGCAAAATATGAGGGTGGCGTATAGAATAATTTGTACTGCATAAACCGTGGTTCTACAAGCATTTCACTCAAAGATACAGTGGTAACTTACGAATAGGTGAGTAGACTCGCAAACAGATGTAAAATAAATCCAGTTAAGTTCGAACAGCGGCAGTAATGGAGGCTCAGTAAACGCAGCGCAGTGCTGGATAATTTGGCACTGGTTGTCGTTAAAGGGCGGATATGTTATATAAACAAACATATAAACCTATAAATGGACGCGAATGTCAGCTAGTTCTTTCGAATAATTATCGGTCACAATCCAACGTCAGTCAATGTGCAGTGAGTAAGATGAAGATGCGTGGCGTGATGAAATGTTAAAGAAAAGTGAACTACTCCGAAATTATCAGTAATGTCATTCAGCTTCATGAATTGTAATTCTCACCGACCAAGGCGTACAACGAAACCCCACCGAATACGGTTCTAATGATCGGTCGTTACTGAGTGCTACTTAAACTGAACTGAGATTTCCATGGAGATTACGTGTCGCATTCACACCACACAGCGGGCAGTCCAAAACCCAAATTTTGGTTTGCCGGGTATTTTTCTTGCATTCTTGCCGCCGTTTTACATATTATGCGCCGTGACACTTCCAACTATACTGCTGCTTGCCAATTTGTTTATATATAGAACTAGAAATAGTTGCAAATTTAAGTTGTCTTAAAAGCTATTTTTCTAGTCATCTAAACAAGATCGGTGGAGTTTAGTCGATAGCATCCAGAAGTAGGTAAACCACTTAACCACTCTAATTAATTCTACCAAATTACACTATGTCATTCTGGTATCCTAAAGTAGTGCTAGCTAGTCAAACATTTGCTGCTTCTAATCGCGTTTGCATACTCCAACTCACGTTTGCGTTTTCTCCTTGTTAACTATCTATCATTCTAGTTTGAAACACTAAGGTTAAAAGCGGAAGTCAAACCTGTCAAACCATTAATTAATTATATCACAAATCACCTGTACATGAGTAAACCGAATATTGGTTCGGTCGCTGCGGTCTTCGCCGAGCTGATCAACTCCCTGATCATCACTCTCGAGCTGACATCACTAGTGCGTGGGAGCCAGCGGTTTCATAGCAGAAGATTGTAGAAGGCAAATCCGGATTTCACCAGGCTCTCATGGGATCTATCGGTGAACCATAATAGACTGTCCAAAAGTTGATAACTACGTGACATGGTTTTCCACATTGTCCACCTTTGTATTCAGAATGCATTTACTAAGCAGTTTCTAAACTAACCTCCACAGTTGAAGATTTTTCGCACTGCTGTGGTTGACAGAAGGTTTTTACGCAACCGATCGGCGAGTTGGCCCCCGAGTGGAACGATAATTGCCATAACGAGATGTGGCAAGGCGGAGAGAAATCCGGTCTGCAACATTGAGAGAATAGAAACGGTATAAATATGCAGTTGTGAGCTGAAAACCAGGAAGTGTTCGATAACGTCCGCAGATTAAATGCTAGTTAGTCGTGCAAGACGACTCGAAATAAAGTAGTCACCTGACGCATCGAGTGCCAAACAGTCAACTTATAATCCACCTTTTATTTAAGTAAATGTGTATAACATCAAATGGGAAAATTCTCTACTTAGCTGGATAGCTCTTCGGTCGCTGCTAGTTTTCGAAGCCACAATATCGTCGAGATAAGCTGAGTTGGCGCAAACCTTGACTAAATGTGTGCTTCAAGGTTAGAACTCAGCAACGCTAACATGAAAACAGCACTCAAATCAGTGCGTGATTCTTGGCCCAGGTTACGATAAAGCCACTCCCATAGGCAAACATGCGTTAATGATATGCTTCGGGAGACATATTCCCATCAGCTGGTTTATTTCATTCTTGTCCTCATTCGAAGCCAAGGTACTACGGAAATCGTAAACACTTGAATGGTAGCTCGGGATCTGTCAAATAGAGACTTCCGCAAGATTTGACTACGAAATGGTCCGGAGGAGGAAGACTCCGTATCGAGGACACGACAAAGTTCAATATTCACTTTGGAGAATGCTAAGTTAGTTAGAGGTTTGTAATTAATAAATCGCGGTGCGATTTAGACTCATCCTTACAGAGCGTCAACAGCATTTATTGTTAATCTTGTGGATCTCTTAAACTTATTTCATTTTGTTAAAATATGCTTAGACAAATTCTTAGTATTTATAGGAAAGTTTCAAGGTTCAGTCATGCTGTTTCTTACCTCAGCCAAGTTGTACCCGAACACCTCTTTGAAGTACTTGGGAGTCTTTGTTATCAACAAGTAGAACGACCAACTCCGAGCGAAATTGGCCACAATGATTGCATAGACAGGAAGAGACACGGCGAATTTGGCCCAAGGTATGGGGATTTTCTGGGTAAATGCATAAACATGTATAACAGTTAGGGAACAACTAATAAGATTGAGACTGTAATTGAGCAGTGAAGAAGTTACACTTATCCTACATTCGTCACGCTCAACTACTGAATGTCTTGTGTTTTCTGACGCTCACCATTTGAATCCCCAAAAAATGGTTTGTTTGGTGCGACAATTTTCTCCTTGCAGCCCGTCCGTTACACCAAATGCCACGCCTTACTCATAGTTTCTCCATCCCTGCCTCAGTTAAAGAAACTGCAAATACGTAGTTCCATGAAGTGCTGTGTTTCTCGTCGCGGCCACCCAATATTCCTTTCCTGGTATAGTATGTACTACTTGTAGACACTGAAGCGGTTGCGTGAAACAGGGTAGTCTTTGGGTCCCTACTTTCCTAATTGATGTTAAGTAGATGGGAACCATGATTTATCATTGTTGACATGGCTAATGCTTGACACCCCATAGAATAGTCCGAGAAACAAACTGCCGTCAATAAAAAAGCAAACATTGGCGGAACCACTAGAAAATCAAACTGTGCAAATTGACTGGTTGTGTTATGTTGATGCCCTGTCAGTAAAGGCCATATAGTGCACTGTAAATGTATGAGTGTATTATCAGGAAGTTTTTTTTGAATACGGGTAATGTGGGGGAATAAACAACGTAAGTAGGGATGGCGCTCCAGGTTCTGCACATACGAAGTGAAAGAATTATCGGCGATTTTCCAACTGGCTATACACTGTGGCCAGGTTCATTTGGTGATCTTTCTGCTTGGCTTTGTGGTTCAGTTTCAGAAGGTGAAGACAAAAATGGTTCGAGATCAGATATGTCAATATCAAATCGTCACACTGTTGTGTCGCCGCTGACGTCTTCACCCCACCACCGCAAGAAGAAATCCAAAGACGAGCCAGGAAGAGACTTGTATACATGAAATCACAGTTGCTTATATAGTTTTGAAGGCAAATGAAGGGAAGCTACTAAATTACACTTGAGTCAACCAGCAGAAGGAAAAAGGTCAAATGCAACTGGCGAGTACGCAACCGTGTACTCAGGAGCGAATCGCATATGTTCTTGAAAATAACATCATGGGACCCCAGCGTAAATTGAACATCCATTTACAGTGACGGGCACTGGCCAATCAGAATAACGAAATGAAGCGTTTAAACAAATGTCACGAAACGAGCGAGAATAAGAAATGCAGACCCAAAAATTAAAAAAACTAGTACAATAATCGTGTGACTATTAAATACTCATTTAACATAACCAAGTAGAACAGTGATGAGAAGAAAAAACCAATGGAATGTGTTCTTGCAAATGGCACTGCTGAAATGGACATGACGATGAGCGCCCATTAACAATGGCGTGGGTGTACCAGTCGGGCTAACCCAGTAGAGCGTTTAAACAACAGTCAAGAAAGAGAAAATAGGAAGAGTAAAGAATAGCTATTAAGCTTGTTCACTAAAAATGAATGTCTAATACTTGGTCTCCTAATACACACACACGTTGATAGTGTGCAGTGTAGACCCCGCGGGTGTTTAGCCTCGGATTTGGCTGGAGGTGAAACAGATCCTTTGAGTTCTTGCCCGTCCTTCGTCATGGTATTTCAAGTGCGCGAAGGTCATGTTTGTGTCAAGGCTGCCAGGCGTGTATGGCGTATTCCGAACTGGGTTTATTACAGGCGTTGAGTAACTGAGAGAAGATCGGAAGATCAAAGCGCCCGAATGTTGGTTGGCTTTTTTGACGCCTTCTCGGCCTGAGGTAAACAGCCAAGTTCCTCTTGTACTATCACTCCCAACTCGCATTCACCAGTAGCACGCTGTAAAACTTGATCCTCCAGCCTGTACTCGCAAGTGGATTGGCGGCGCATATTCAGTGTTCTACACATAACAAATTTACAATGAAGCGGATTCTGAGTTGTCCACCCGTATACCCTATTGAGATCATCCTGCAGTGTTACGTGGTTTTGTTTTGTTTTAATGGCCTGCTGTATATAGAAATCATCAGCAAAGAGCAAGAAATTTGCCGTGATCACTCACGCAAATTCGTTTAGGTAACTCAAGAATAGGCACAGACTAAACACTGAACCCTGTGGCACTCCGCACTGAACGTCGATAGGGTCAGACATGGCGCTGCGAACTCACATACTGAAATGTTCTTGAAGCAGTAAGTTACCTATCCAACGGAGGGCCGGATCACTGATTCCACTACTCTAAGGCTTGTAAAGGAGAACGCGGTGGTTCAAACAGTCGAGCACCTTTAACGAGTACAATAAACTGCATCAACTTCCACAACGATGTCGACAGTTTCAGTCCAACTAGAGTGAGTAAATAGAAGCTATGTGGTGCAAGACCGGTTGTTGCAGAATCCATCTTGTTCTGGTGCTACATTGTTGCATCCTTCCAAGTAATTCATAAGCGTTTTGGCTTTAATTATTTGCCTCATTTTGGATAGCGCCGAAGTGTTATCGGGTGATAGTTGGCAGGATCTGCATAAGAGTGAAGACTCTGTGTTTCCATATTTTTGGGACCCTCATCTCATCGAGGCATCGTTGAAAGAACTGAGAGTGGATCCGCTAAATGTATTGCACCTAACTTCGGCGCTTTTGGGCGGATATCATTGACACAGGAGTAAGTTCGCACAGGGAAAGCGGTATAATCTGAATATCTACCGTCCTCAACGGGATATAGCAAAGCCCTGTCAGTGATATGACTTGGGTGAACAGCATAGGCAATGAAGTCGTGCTCTAGGAGTTTAGGGCATTGGTTCCCTCTATTGCAGTCCGTGATGGTCCACCTGAAGTGTGTGTTACAGGAATCCCTCACTGCACTTCATTGAGATTGTTATCGTGTCCGTAAACGAGCTTGCGTTTGGAACATAATTACTCAACTAGATACTGTCGATGTCTCAGTTTGCCATCGCGTACCACCTTCACGCTGTGGTTACGTTTGATTGTATAGACTTCCCGTGCTTCTGGTGCCCAGTGATTCCAAGTACTTTATCCAGAGTAAATCTATAGGGACCAGAAACATCCGCGTCCTGCTCCATAAGAGTGCATTACTCTCATCGAGCGTGGGTCCTGTTCCTCAAAGCATCCGTGACTAGTCGTGTTGAATTGATCGTCAAAATATTAACCGGCAACATCAGAAGATTGTTTAAATAGAAATGACCAGGTAGTTACATTAAATAGTGTAGTCAAAACGCCGTAATCTGTAATGGGCTGAGTCTCGCCAGCGTTTTCTTCGGAATTCTCTGCATAACAGATGTAGTCGAATGGTGGCGTCGTATGATCGCTGCAACCTAAAAGACCATATATTGTTACTAGTTCGAACATAAGCTCCTCGTTGATGTTTATGAGATTCTGGTTTGTACCCCGTCTTGATATTGTGGAAGAAGTGGTGTGGTTGTAAACTGGTAATCAAATGGTTAGTTCCTTTAGTTTCTCTTTGACGTGTTCACCGAGGCAGGTTGTTTCTAGGGTGTGAAGGTCGAAGTCACTTGCAAGAAGAACGTGACTGTGGGATTGTGCGAGAACGGTCTTCAGAGCGCAGGTTAGGTGATTGTCCGTTTTGGAACTAGACGACGGAGGGCGGTACATAATTTTCCTTAGACATGTATCACCGCCTCGCTGGTGAATACACTGTCAACACGTCAACAACATGGATCATTACGTTGTCGACGAGATCAAACTGTAGATCACTGTGGTATTGTGATTGTACACCACCTCCTCCATTCGTAGTCCAGAATAGACATTAGAGTCATTTTATTCTCCGCAGAAGCAAGGCGAATATCGAATGTCCTAAGCTATTGGTTATCTAGTGTAAGTGGAGTTTTTGGCTGATTGCAGGGGAGATTCGTCGCCGCTACGCCGTCAGACAGCCTATATACATTAGGAAAATCGTTGAATATCGGTTTCATCATTACGGGATCGATGATCAGGGCACATTCTAAAGTCTAAGCAAGGGGTTTAGCTGAATGATGCTGTGAAGTAACTTCCTTTAATACTATTAAATACCTAAGTTAAGGATCGCCTTGAACTACACATTATGTAGCTGGGAAACGACACGCAGTGGAACCTTGACATAATAGAGTGAAAAGGCTACAGGTTGGAAAGACACGTAGGATGGTCTGGGTGAAGTGCATACATTTACAGAAACAAATGTTGCAATCAACAGAAATTGCGCTTCCTTAGACTTCCCATGCAGTCTGTATTGACAGTAATGTAACTCTGCTTACCCCGATTTCATGGGCCAGAAGGTAATAACAGTGATGGGTTGTAATTTATCGTCACCCGATGAACGTGAGTCATAGCCCGTATTGCAAATTGTGCAAACTATCGTCGAGTTGTCTTTTTTAAATGAATAAAATGGACGCGATGATGACTAGCCGAGATAGTATTCTCCGCACCCTCAAGCTGGGTCGCGATTTAGTCTATTCGTTCAATGAGATCGAGGTACGAGTGGCTTCATACTCGTTTGCACTGCTCAGGTAAAAATGTCAGGACTGCTATCGTGTAATTCATTCACAAAACAAATGCTTCATATTGACCCCTATCTAGGCATTGGCCATGGTGATAAGCGTTACCCTCAGTGACACGGTGGCCTAATGTTAGAGGCCACGGCTGATTTCCCAAAGGCCCTGGGGTCTAGTAGGCATGCGGCTACCACTACATGACGAGTACAGATAGGTACGAAACCAATCGGGCAGTGTAGTGGGGCCAACGTGCAACGCATGACAAATGGCCAACCGCCGCTCTGCACCAATTGCTAAGAGTCAGTAATTTCTTAAGTTAGTACTGTGTCCGAAAAGGACGGAACTGTTGCATAATGAGTTGCAAAATGTTCCTGGCATGTAATGCTCTGGAAATCATTAGTGTTTCATGTTTCACTGCTTACTGTTGAGATTTGGACACCAAAGGAGTTATACCACGACTTGCGTCTCCTGAGCAGTCTAAGGCTTGTTGGGAACGCATTCTATCCCCGTTATAAGTGGCAGATAAAATATCAACGAACAACTCGGGTTGAATATCATGACAGATACCCTTAAACATTAGATTCGTCAAATTTAAATAGTCCTTCATTAAAAACTAACCATTGTTGACTAACATGTTCTGTGGAGAACTGCCGCACGTATTCTAATGAGTTTATGTATGCAGTGTAAGTGCAGCCAATTCACTGACTAGCGGGATTATGTATCCAAAGGTCCATCATGTTCTCAATATTTGTGAACGCTACTTCGAGGCAACCTTGTCATCCTTAATTAGCGAAGAGTGAAGATTCCTCGGTATGTCTACGTAAAATGCTAGCTAAAGTTATTATTCCATTGCACACGTAGACAACTGTTACAGACTGTTGAACTGGTTGTTGAGTTCGATTGCTTGAATGGAGCAGCACCATTTTTGCTTGGCACTCGTTACGACTGCGATGCGTGCTCGCTCTCGTAGGCTGTGTATTTTGCGTTTCCCTAGATAACAGCGTCCAGCGGTGCCGTCTTTTTAAAGTTAGGCGAACAGGGAACAATTTGCTGCAGAAATAAAGGTTTCCCTGCAACCCGACCTGTCCTTTGGAATCGTTATCCGGGCTCCGGCTATGTTGGTGACGCCGACTTGAAAAGAACTTCAACACCAGATTTTTCGATTCTTTGTACGGTGACCTCGTTCCATTTATTCTTTTTGTAATTTTCCGATTTAATTTTGCATGCGTTAGTAACAATTTGCATCCATTTTTTAAACCATTGACTTTCTAGACCATAATGCAGTGTCTCCCGTTAGTGTTATATCTCCCAGTTAGGATATGGATTTTCTATTGTTGTTCGCTTATCTAGAGGCAGAGTTTAAAGCCACAGAAGTACTTCCGACTAGGCTAAATATGGAAAGTTCATGTCATGCCTCCCCAAGGAGAAATCAGTGCAAGTTCGAGACAACAAGATTTCTTAGACAGAAAACGTCTATGTGGTCTTCAAGGAGGCCATGAGTAAGCCTGTCATGCCCTCTGAAAATGTCCGCCTACAGCAGGCTTTCAGGGATCTGCAGTTAGGCGACAAGCTGCCCTTAACCTAGCTACGAGAGATGCAACAACTTGATTCATTCACCATAGACGAAACACTGCTTTGTGAATTATGGCTACAAATACCACCGGAAAACACACAAGCGATCCTCGCAATGGTTAATTTCGTGTCGCTCAAGGAAGTGCCCAGTTGCTCGGACCGAGTCATAGTACGATCTCAGCCACAAGCCGAAGCCAGCAAGGTTAACGCCGTTGAGTCCCAGGGCACTTCTGTAACCGGTTTACAGTCAATTATAGAGGTCATACAAGCACAAGTCGCGACACTTAATCCCCAAGTTCAATAGATCACAATGAGCCTTTGTTGTCACAGCCGATCAAAATCACCCTCAAGACAATCCAAGTCCAACAACAGGCAGGAGTGCTGTTGGTACAACCAGCGCTTTGGTACCGTAGCTCACAAATGCGTTAAGCTTTGTAACTTTTCCGAGAAGTAGGAAAACTCCTCGGCCGACATGTAATGGTGACGGACGCGACCGGTCGAAAGCAAACTCGTCTCATCCGCGTTAGGGATTTAACTTCTGGTACAGACTTCCTTGTGGGCACCTTATCCGAACTTAGTCATACCTAGTAACTCGGAAGAGGTTGTTTCACCCTCGCCGAACAGACTAGGTGCTTCCAGCGGCACACCAATCACAACTTTGGGTGATAACCTGCTGACGCTCAGCCTAGGCTTTCGGCAAACCTTTCGCTCGGCTTTCCAAATAGCAGCCGTGCCTTTCGCTATTATGGGCATAGATTTCTTTGACATATTGATATTATCACCGATGCTAAAAGGTAGACGCTTAGAGAGTATCGCGCACACCGCAGCGTTCTCGAGACTAGCGCAACATAGCTGCGACCACTCCCATTCGTATCCTGCCTCAAGATTCACCGCCTTTTATAGACCTTTATAATCAGCATCCTAAGCTCGTTCGCACTCAGAACGACTTACTTCCCGTGACGTCAAACGTCATGCACCATACCTGCACTAAGGGTCCGCGCGTTTCGGCCCATCCTCATGAACTGACCTCGGACAAGCCAATATCGGCTAAGACAGCAATCGAACAGATGCTCGAACTTAGAGTAGTCCGCTCGTCTGAGCCCATGGTCATCACCATTACACGCACTCACGCGTTCGTTCACACTGAGAGCGTACGCCCGCCGCTTCATCCTCATTATTCTGGCCTGTATCGTGTCGTACACAGAACCGACAAGACATTTACCGTGGACTACAATGGTGAAACTGCGACGATCAATATTGATAGACCCAAGCCAGCATTACTCGACAACTTTTGCTCTTCAACGCAACAAGAATCTTCTCAGCCCGAGCTATCATTGCCAGCACCGCAACCTCAGACAGCTCACTCCGCTCCAGCGAAACCTACAGCATCAACCGACCGCACCCCTACTCTCTGTACTATCGACAGACCCGGTAGGGAATTGAAACTCGCAGTTCCTCTTCCGGATTTCTTTAACGTTTGCTCCTATAACTAGAGCGTACCACTCAAATTTGCATGTTCCTACAACCCGTTTTCCAAAACCAAGAAAAAGCTTTTGAAGCTACCAAAAAAGAGCAAACCCTTTTGGAAATTCAAAAACGGCTTGGTACATAGTTCTCAGTACACCCTCTTGTATATTGCTATATATGTTCGCTGCTTTTTTTCCATTTGACTTTCCAGATACACTAGTGGTTTGTCGTTCCTTGGTTGAACAGTTCACTAGATCTCCTCATCAAAACTGAAAGCAAAAAAAGTTCCTGCTCAGCCAGCTATGTACACCTTACGAATTGTCTCCCCAAATACAATCTTTCTGTTTCGACACCGTAGGGAGTAAACGGATGGAAGCCCGTTACGGTCCGATTGCATGGTTTTGCCCCAGCAGCTGCATCAGGTTTCACGTGGTTTCGTAAAATGCTGGCCGGTGACGGACAGTCCTCAAGTAGATAATTGATGGTTCGTCGCAGCCAGTTCCAAATCCAATAGTCGTCCACATATCCGGAAAAGTACTATACTGCAGTTTCAGTCTGTTGGGCATCATCAATAGTGCGCATCCATCGGATCCATCAGGATTCGAACGCATGACCACCAGCGGCGTGCACCGCGAGTCAGCAGCTTATGTCAGCCAAGTAGGTCGAAGCACTGCCTAAAATGTCCCTTCTAGGGGGGGGGGCTATATAGCAGTCTTGAGATTCTTGGGGTTTGTCTGTTTAAAAATCTAACTAAAATTACTATTCTATTGCACACGTAGGCGACCGTTACAGATTGTTGGACTGGTTGTTGAGTTCGATTGCTCGAATAGAGTAGAGCCATTTTAGTTTGGCGCTCTTTACGACTGCAAAGCGTGATCTCCCTCGTGTGCTGTGCATTTTGCGTTCAACTGCGTCGTTTTTTAAAGCTAGGCAAAGCGGAAACATATTGCTGCAGAAAGAAAGATTTCCCTGCAGTTCGATCTGTCGTTTAGAATTGCTATCCGGGATCCCGCTAAAAGCAACGCCAATTCTGGAGGTTAAATGAGGAGACAGAATCCGGTAAACATAGTATGAGTTTTCATCCTTAAAATTATCTGCGGGGGAATATTGGGTTTGAGAGCACTCTCTTCCCACGAAGAACTGCCGTGCGATCATTATAATCACCGCAACTACCGACCACAGGCTGCTGAACTGAGAGTGTGATAACACAACTATCAGGCCTCGAACAGCATCCGTCTAAAGGACGAGTTTTGCAACAATGATCATTAATAAAAGTAAGCACTGTGCCAGTGATTTCTAGGGCCGAGACTGCTTTCTAATAGACTGAGCGTTTCCTCGTTACACTGTATGTTATGCTGTATGTACATGTCAGGCAACTAGTTGAAATCATTTTTACCTATTCATCGATCATCAGTGTTGTAGATGTGGATACGCCGTGCCACTTTAGAATCCATTCACAATGGACAACATTGTGTCATTTAACATCAGTTTTGCTTTGCTGCGGCCGTTTGGGAATTCAGTGGTGCCCTTCAGTTATGGCTCTCCGCTTCTCTTTTCGATCTCGCACGTGGACACGCAAGAGGAACCTTCACTTCCGTTTACTACAAACTACGCTCCATTGTTCGGTACCGTGCTTCAACCTCACCACCAAAACAGACGACATCGGTTCGCGCACATCTATGGACACGCACACACCGTTGCTGCCTCGACAACTCATGAGCTCACACACAGCACCCAACACTCCCACACATTATGCACACGTCGCCGTGATCATGTCACATTGAGGAAGCGATGCACAAACGGACGAGGCTGTGTGTGTACTCAAGCTACAGCAAGGGCGTGTGCGACACCCTGCCTAAGCAGCCAGGTGGGTTGGCCTGATGGGGGTAATATACAACGGATTAGCAGCGGCAGCGCGAGAGTGATTCGACTTTAATGGAAAATGGCGGCACCAGAGGTAGCAGCAGAGACAAAGGCGAGATCCGTGTCTGTCACGTGTGTGTGTTACGGCCGCTGGTGCGAACGGTATGGGCAGTGATTCATGTGGACCAGATTGTCGTCGATTCTCGCTTGGTCCTGTCCAGAGACTGTATTTTCGTGATCGATTTTTCAGTTAGTTGCAGTTAAAATTGAACCGGCTCTCATCAAGCATAGGTAATTAGCAAGGTATGCACAGGGAACAAACTGTAAGCACCCCATAGACCATGTTATTGACTTATTGGCTTATTGGCTTTTATGCACTTGAGTTGAGAGTGGTCCACACTTATGAGTCTTTTGTGTATATAAGGAAATGTCACTCATGAGAGTTGCATAAATGGAAGCTCGGTTAAACATGGAAAGCATTTGAATTGGGGGAAACAAAGTTGCTCTTAAGCGAACGGAAGTAAATTCTACAGGATTCATTCGGTGATCGGGGTTATATACCGTATTTCACCAGATATAAGCCGATGAATTTTGAACAATTTTTTGTTTCTGTAGTTGTGGGGTCGGCTTATGAAAAGGCCATACGCGATTTGAAATTAGCCATGCACTATCCACCAAGGAATACCTCTAGTCTTATCTCCCATTAGCACTACCCGCTAATGAAGGGTTTTTAAGTGCCTATAACTGGACACGTTACTTTTGTGTCGAAAATTCTCCGTATATTGCACATCAGACCTTCGCGACGGATGGCAATAGGGAATCCATAGCCCTTGAACATTATGTTATGCCAGGCGATCCGGTGCGGCTGACCGTGAACATTGCTCTCATCCACTGCTCTACTGTGGTTCATTTGCATAAGGCCCCCGACTATGTGAGGCGGTCTGTCCTAAACCCTCCCACCTTACCATACATTGTCGGCTGTCTTGTCTTTTTCATATGACTTGACGTCTGGTCGATACATTGCCCAGTGCGGTGAAAGCCTTTGTTCTGACGGCTCTAGGCCCCATTAACCGCGATTATAACATTACGGTACCCACAGTTGACCAATAATAGAACAAATTTCACTTGAACTCACACAAGGGACAGCAGCTAGTGTTGACGTCGAAATCGTGGAGAAACCATGATGTTTCTCTTCTGCTGACTTTGGACAAATTCGGTGTAGCAAAGTCGTACTGTCGTCTTAGCTATGGACGGGTCTATGTTCAATACTACGCGGTACTTTAGGTTTATTCTGCTGAAAACCCAGGCTTACGCATGTCAGAGGGGCGGAAATGTTTGATCACGAGGAATCATAGTGGCAACACTTGCGAAAGTAATCTCAAGCATGGTGATGTTGACAAAGATGTCATCGACGGGCTTCGGGACACAAGCCTTGAGTTCCTTCGAAACTTGAGTCCCTAACGCAGTTGACTCTGCTATTGGCCATTAATCTATAACCCCAGAGACCGGCATTGCAACCTTATTCGCTATAGTATTACCGGCTAAGCTCGCATTAGCTTAAGTGGGATGCGTGCACAGTCCAACCAACATTGGTGCACTGTACCCTCCGGCTGCTGCGATTCCCACAGCGATCTCGTCAACTGAGAGAACTTTAGTTGTTGAAGTAGCTAGAGAATCAGATTCAGAGCTCCACAAAACTGCAACTCCTATATATATATATATATATATATATATATATATATATATATATATATATATATATATATATATATTTCAGGTGTGTTTGACTGTTGTTTGATATCCCCGGTGTGGCTGCGCTTGATGTGCATGTTGACAAGGTGCCTACCTGTCTATTACCCACTACCTCGTCCATACTGGCTCCAGGAGACAGTTGGTCGTTGCTGGAGGGGACAGGCTGCATGGTCCTTGTGGCCGTGCTAGGCTCGAAGAGTGGTTCCATGCAGTCAGTGTGGAGCGGACTACGGTCCAGCCACCGCCTTGTGTGCGCTTGATTCCCAAATACAGTGCGCTTGTGTTTGCCTGTGAAGGAGTGTGGGCCGGCTCCGTTGATGAAACGTGGTTCCCATCCGCATGCCTCCCGGTCTTATTCCTTCGGGTTTACACTGGATACTGGGGTATGTGGCTTGGAGCTGTGGGATGGTGCAGCGCAAGCCATCCATGGTCCCTCTGTAGGCGCAGGCGTCCTGTGGCTGACCACAATGACAGCGCAAATCCCGAAACAGGATGCCGCCATAAATGTATATATAATATTATATATATATATATATATATT